TCTCGATTCTGGTCAAGGGCATGTACCTTGGTTGCGGGCACATCCCCAGTAGGCGGTGTGCAAGAGGCAGCTGATCGATGTTTCTCTCTCATCGATATTTCTAACTCTCTATCCCTCTCCCTTCCTCTCTGTAAAAAAAAAAAAAATCAATAAAATATATTTTAAAAAATGTGGGTCATTTTTTGTTTATACAGTTTGTAAGTCGTGTTTGGGTACTATATTATCCGTTGTGTTATTATGAATTTATGTGGTATATTTGGGAATTGTTAGCAGATTTTTGAGTTTAGGATTTTAAATTAACAAGTAGTCCATGCATATTAGACTAGTCCTCTAAGGGAGGCCGCATGGGCTGGTGAATAAAAGCGTGGTTTCTGGAGTCTGAAAGACCCGGGACTGTGCCCAGAGTGTCCTCCATGTAGAGCAGCACTGTCTACTATGGCAGCTACTGGCCACATGGAGCTATTAAGCACTTCAAATGTGGTTCATATGACTGCCTGAATTTAAATTGCATTTAACTTTAATTAATTTAGGTCTAGGTAGCCACATGTGACTGGTGGTTAGCGTAATAGGTCTCATAGGATGAGGTGACTTAACTTTGCTGTGTTCCAAACTTCCCATCTGTTCAGATGAGGTCATACTTAAACTACCTTTTGTAGTTGTAAGAATAAGTACATGAATGTATTTAAGGAGCTTTACGCTATACCTAGAATAGAATATGTCCTTGAGAAATGATAGTTATAATGATTACATATTTAATAAACTGGACTTTTGAGCATTAATTTAAATCTTTATTTTTATCCCCTTTCAGGATTAATTTATTTTTGGAAATCAAGTGCAATATTAAGAGGAAAACAAACTGTACTGCACATTATTGGAAGCCATTTCTGCTAATTTTATTACATTTTAAAATTTATGATTTGATTTGAATACTATCATGGGAGGAGCAGTGAGTGCTGGGGAAGATAACGATGACTTAATTGATAACTTAAAAGAAGCTCAGTATATCCGCACTGAAAGAGTGGAGCAAGCCTTCAGAGCAATTGATCGCGGAGATTACTATTTGGAAGGCTACAGAGACAATGCTTACAAAGACTTAGCCTGGAAGCACGGGAACATACACTTGTCGGCGCCTTGCATTTATTCTGAAGTTATGGAAGCATTGAAACTTCAACCAGGATTGTCTTTTCTTAACCTGGGAAGTGGAACCGGATATTTAAGTACAATGGTGGGCTTAATTTTAGGTAATTTTATTTTTGTAAAATTCTTTTTTAAAAAGTAAGCTAAGTTTGTATTACTGTTTATGATTTCCGGGGTTTGTAACTTTGTATACAGTATATGTTGGAATACTTCCAGTAGTTATCTTCCTTCAGTGGAAGCACAAAGTAATAGTCATCTTTTCTTAGTCTCAGCCTTGACTCTAATAGTAGCTTCTGCATTTAGTCCTAGACTTCAAGAGCTCTTGAGATTGTTTTCCAACCCCCGGTCATTGTCTGTACTTAAAACTGAACAGTTGGTAGGCAGGAGACTCAGGAGTATAATGTCATTTATTTCAGGTAAGGTGTTCTGACTGCGGGCATAGAGTTTGATAGTTATCAATGTCCCATTTTAGAGGGAATGGTGCCAGGTGTGTTTTTTTTTAAAGATACAGGAGCATGTGGGTACAGAGGACGTGGCACTGGCAGGCAAAGCAAAGGGATGGAAATAAACCACAGAAGAGAGAAGTACATGCCATTAAGGTTTCAGCATACCTTAAGTAATGGCCCGCTCTGCCAGGTGTTATTTCTGGTATGAGTATAGAGCAGTGATCAAAAGGGACAGATAGCTCTGTCTGGGAGAAGTTTATTGGGTGCTTACTACGAGGGCGAGGCATTGATTTCCATGTGTGTAGGAGAGTTAAACTGAAGCACAGACGTTAAATATCTTGCCTAAAGTCCCATAGCTAGGAAGTGACAGATGGAAAATATGGAATTTGGTGGAAAAGCGTGTCTAGAAGAAAATCTATAAGGACATTATGATGTTGGATGGACAATGAACCACCATGAATTTTACTGAGCCACTTAGTATTTACTGAGTGCTGCTGGGTGGCAAGAATTAGGTGGAGCATGAAGGCCCATAACATAGCCTCTTGCCCTTGAATTCACAGACTAGTGATGGGGAATCATTGAAAGATTTTTAAATATAGAAGCTCTGATTATACTCTAGCAGGGGTAGGGAACACCTGGTCATGGGCCCTGTAAGGCCCTTGAAATCATTTGGTCTGGCTCTGCCAAGGCATCAGGGGTGAGTTAATTAAATGTTTGACAAAATATAGCAGGCTGATTTTTAAGTTGAAAATTTTGTATGACCCATGAATAATGATATAAATAATCCAAATGGCCCTGGGCGGAAAAAAGGTTCCCACCCCTGCTAGGGTAACTAGGTCCCAGTATGCTGGGACAGTCCTTGTTCATCCCTGTGGTCCTAGCATCTTCAATAATGTTCTTTTCTTTCCCAAAGTATCCCATTTTGAGCAATAAATTGTGTGGTCACATATGACATTTAAGGCATTTTTATTCCTGAAATTTTCCTTTCCTACACAGTGGCTAGCACCTTCATTTCTTAATCATGGAACCTGCAATCTATCTCATTAAAAAAAAAAATAGGGCATTTTCCTCCCACAATGGGGTTTTTGATAAATAATAATTCCTCAAAAATGTAGCAAATAGTTAAGTTTTACCAGGACAGAAATTTAGCAGCTTACATGTGCATTTGGTTCTCCGGCTGCCCTGAGACAGGAGTTTCTCTGCGGTTGGGAACCTCACACATCTATCACTGGCATCACTAGTGCCTCTTCGACAAAGGAACCTCTAGGCTTCGAGACAGTCTCCAAACCAAAGCAAGTTAGTGGGGAGTGCAGGTAGAGTTTCTTTTCAAAAGTTACCTTTGGGTCAGTGCATTTCTTGACTAGTTCTGGCAACTTTAGACTGGAGTCCAGGCCTCATACCCTGTCTTGCCAGCCTCAGAGCACCTGTTATCCTGTCTTCCACTTCTCCAACCCTGTTGACTGGTT